CATGGTTATGTTCCTCCCCTACTTGGATGTTTGGGTATTGTAGTTGAACTAAGGGTGTTCCCACTTCTCTTGCTCTATTCTTCCTCATATTTTAAAATAAAAATTCAGTAGGGAATGCAGGAATCCCTTGTCATGGTAAAGCAGGTGTGCAGTGCAAAAGTCCCAAGAGATATTAGAAAGCCACATTTTTCAAACAAGATTAGACACATTTATATGCATTCAGGAGCGTCACGTGTTTGGGTGATCATTCATTTCATTGGTCAGAAAAGTAATTTATTCTGGCCATTGAAATGAATGAAGGGTCAGGCTTAATATTTAGGTGTGTTTACACGCAGTTAAACACGTTGACAACAGCAAAAGCTTCTGTTGAACCCGATTTTGGTGTGTTCAGATTTCTGCCCCCAAATGCCCCTGCCTTTAAATGCCTGTAAACACCTATGTGTGAATGGGCATATAGGCTAACATAGAGGGGCGTATATGGGCAGAAAAAAAAAAACCTTCAAAGGCCTATAAAACAGGCATTTGACAGCTGCGGTGTGCCTGAGGTCTGATTGTTAGGCAAATTAACTACATATTCTACAATGTAGATTGAACCATGAATTATTAGTTTTGGTTGGACTGAAACCTAAAGCTTTTTCTAGCTGTAACAGCAGAACTGTGTACATTGGGGCTGTGCTCATCTTCTAATAAGCTGTTGTGAGTGACTGTGATTCATAGGTTGGAAAAGGTATATCAGAACCAGAAGATGGACACACCATACATTACTGATCAAAAAAATCTTCACTGGTATTATTGATTATCTCTACAGGGGAGGTGCGAGCTCTTCTGCATACCTCAAAAAAGTAGGCTGATCTGCTAGAGTGGTGTCTGATACTTACAAATGCCCAAATCTGACCCTGGCGTCACTATGGCTATAAATGAAATGTCCACTTAAAATGCTTTTATACATGTGTCTAAAATCTTTCAAATTTCAGTAAGGGCACAAATAAGACCTTAGAAAAGGAACACAAGAGTTGACCCCTCAGCATCGTTCCTTATCACCAAGCTCTTCCTGCTGCCCCAAGCATTTAACCATAAACTAATGAATTATTAGGTTGAATGAGTAAAGTGAGTTAACCTGTTAAGACTTTTGTAGCCTGAAGATAAGGCAATTATTAAGTGATGTAAAAGCAGCAGGGGTGGGCTAGAAGGATCATTGAGAGCTTCAGCGTTTCCTTGAATTCTTTTCATTTCGAGGCCTCTAAACCTATATTTTAATTCTGCTTGTAATGCCAATTTCAAATATTTAGAGACAAATGTATAATAATATTAATTATATATTATTTTTATATATCATGATTTTTACATTTTTTTTATAAAATTGCTGTAGTAGGAATGTCAGGAAAACAAACCATTCATCATCTTTAGCACTTGCCCCAGTTCCCCAGTATGACAATTATTTCATTAAGAAAAAGCAATTTGGCCAGTCCATTGGCAGTAACTAGACATAGATGTAAGGTGTCCACAATCTCATACCTTAAAGTGTACCTATGGGCAAAATTTAAATTGTATTGAAATTATATTTCAATTATTTGTAGCCTACTTCTATTAATCTGAATGAACTCCGAATAAACACTTTTACTTCCTTTAATCCTGGGACAAGTATTCACATGCCCTGTGATTGAACACTGCTGTGTTACAGACTTCACAGTGCCTGCCTTTTAAACTACAGAGGTACTGAGGGGAGGAGTTTCAGGAGTTAGTACATGAATCACAGCTTGCAGCCAGCAAGCTACCATGGGATATATAGTCCATAGAAATGGAAAGCAAACAGCATAGAGAAGCTGCAAAGTTTACAGGGGAATTCAGGAAGTTGGGGAAAGTGATGAACAGCAGACAGGCAGCATTCACATGATAAAAGGAGATTTTTCAATTAAGCCTATATTGTTTTGTCAAAAATGGTTATTGTTTGCATTGTTACTACAAAGCAGATGTTATAAAATTAAAGTGTATACCATGATCACAGATTACCTTTAAATTTTAAAAGTGGGTGCAGGTTATCACAATGTAGTTTATAGGGTGCCTTGTCACTTTAGTCATGCAGTCAGAGCATATACTATTCATGGTATTCCCCTGCTTGTCAAATAAAGCTCAGTCTACCACCTTAAATCTGAAAAGGCCAATTTATATACAAAATGAGTGAGTTAGTTGTTTTGGTTTATTTAAACCAAAAACGTTGCTTAGTAACAATAGGGATACGTGATATAAACTGACACACAGCAGGTTGTATGTCTTTAAACATTTTTACAAGCTGTCACAATATAGAGATACATAATATTCCAGTTTCATTCATGGTCCCATGTAAATCTGACCTGCTTAGCACCTCCTTTATTGGTTCTTAATGGCTGCAGCAGTTGGGCAGCTCTAAGAGCTGAGGTCCAGAGATTTTTTTCTTTGTTTATATTTTTAGATACCTATGTGATCCAGAATAAAGTTTCTAATTAACCTAATCTTCAAAATGTTGAGAGCTCCCGTGTTGAACCAGCCTCTTGTAAAAATCCACCAATGAGTGCTTCCTTCCTTGGTATGTGCTCATCCTCGGGTGCTGAAGATACCTGGGCAACCTCAGTACTTTATAAAGGAGTCTTTTACTATCTGTCAGCTATACTGGGGAATAATATAATTATATGTTTTATTAGTTTCAGGTACTTATGTAGCACCATCAATTTACACAGCACTTTACATATATATTGTACATTCACATCAGTTCCTAACCCTAAAGGGGCATACAATCTAAAGTCCCTAACTCACATTCATATCCAAGGGCCAATTTAGACAGGATCCAATTAACCTACCAGCATGTCTTTGGCCTGTGGGGGGAAACCAGAGGAAACCCACACAGGCAGAACATGCAAACTCCAGGCAGGAGGTGCGGTGGCTGGGATTCAAACCAACAACCCTAGTACTACCAGGTGGAAGTGCTAACCATTTAGCCACTGCACTATCTAATAAATATCCAGATATGTAACTTAACTTATGCTTAGAATTGTCCTCTCCCTGATATCCTGTTGTTCTGAATTAGAACATGGATCCTGGTTTCTGTTGTCTGTCTACCACCTATCCCAGCCTTTGGCCTGTACCTGAACAGAACAGCACCTTACTATTTGGTTTTGGCCTGATTCATTTGACTGTTAGCTGTAGCCATTGGGGCATTCCATAGGGTCATGCAGCTCAGCTCTGCCTAGTGATATAGATTGAGTACTTTTTAGATTCTGCATTGTCAAAACACTGGTGATACTGCAGCACTAATTATGGAGTGGGGGCAAGGAAAGCCATTTGTGGGGCCTGCTGTTTTGCCTGTTCTAACATGTGAATAAAATAAATCCTAGGTTTTTTTTTTTTTTTTTTGTTGTTGTTTTCCAAAAAGCAATGTGGTTAGTGGCTTGTATTTCTTATTATTCTTTTCTCCAGATAATATGATTATGTGCCCCCACATTACATCTTTACAGCAGAATTAGATGATAAGAGAATGTTTAGCCATACAATATGGAAAAATCCATCAATTGTGCAATGTGAGAGGTGTAGCTCAGTTAGTTGACTGCGTTTGTGAATGCTAGAATAAGTATCATAATGAAGCTTGCTCAGTCAAGTGAAAAATAAAAAAAAAATGAGGATCTCATGTAGAGCGAGTCTGCCAGAAAATGCACAACATATACTGAGAAAGGGATTAACCCATTGGCAACCCACCTGCCTAGCTTCTTTGAATTTCATATCCTAAGTATAAAAATATAAAAAAAAAAAACCCTGCATACCATATAGGAACATATTTAAGGATACATTCAGGGGTTATTTATTACGGTAGTACAAAGTAACAATGATATGCAAAATTCAGTAATACAACTAAACATATGTCAGCTTTTTGTAGTCATCAATTAATGGGTTTGTGAAATTGTCACCTTCTGGCTTTTTGTCTGATTCCTTGCTACAATTACTTAGACTCACACATCCCCATGCGACATACCCCATTCATTGTCTCCTACCTTGTATGTATAACATTGCACAAAGGGTTGCTTAGTGATTGCCTGTAGTAATTATCTAAGGAAATGCTGTATGTGCACTTGCAGCCCATAAATGATTTCCTCAGTGGGGGCACTACTGTTTTCAGACATCTTGTTGCTGATTGTTATTAGATCTGATGTTTTCTGCCTAGATTCTTGACCTGTTCACTTTATGATTCTTGATTGGAACTTTTCCTGTATTTTTTAATTCTCCCTGGTACTTTTGCACAGTTTTGTAACTCCTGGGTATGACCTTGGATTGTTCTGACCAGACTCTTCAAAGTCAGACACAGCTAGGCATCTAGCATTTTGAGTACAGTAATGTTAGGAATGGAACATGGCTACATATTTTTGACATACATTTTAAAGATCCTTTGTTGCTAATCAAAAATATTGTAATGGTAGTTCCACTTACTGGCTGCTATACCATTACTGTAACCTGTACTGATACAGCAGCTGTGAGGATTCTTCAACAAGCTATAGTTCTGAAAGAAATCAAAGATACGAATTGCTGGCAGGTAAGTACTATTATTCTTCTTTTGAAGGGGATCCTTGTATTTACTTATTTATTTGTTGGCTGGTGACAGAGTTACTGATGTTTCTTAGTATAACTTACAGGTAATTGTTCCTTCCCCAGCTTGTAAGTAGACAGCAAAAGGAGAAGCAACAGACATAACATCATGCTTCCTTCACTGCAGTTCACAACTGACTGGCTCCCTGTGCTGCTACTTCCTCCCCCAGTCTGAGTTTTGTTGTACAGGAACTGCAAGAGTCTAGTCCCATGATTAAAAGAAAAAAAAGATTTTATATATATATATATATATATATATATATATATATATATATGCATATATGCAGTATATTGCCAAAAGTATTGGGACACCCCTCTAAATCATTGGATTCAGGTGTTCCAATCACCTTCATGGCCACAAGTGTAAAAAATCAAGCATCAAGCATTTAAGCATGCAGATTGCTTCTACAAACATTTGTGACAGAATAGGTCGCTCTCAGGAGTTCAGTTAATTCAAACATGGTATCATGATAGGTTGGCACCTGTGCAAGAAGTCCATCCTTGAAATTTCCTTGCTACTAAATACTCCATGGTCAACTGTTAGTGGTATTATAACAAAGTGGAAGCAACTGGGAACAACAGAAACTCAGCCACAAGGTGGTAGGCCACGTAAAATGACAGAGCAAGGTCAGCGCATGCTAAAGTGCACAGTGTGCATAAGTTGCCACCTGTCTGCAGAGTAAATATCTAAAGACCTCCAAACTTTGTGTGGGCTTCAGATTAGCACAACAACAGTGCGTAGAGAGCTTCATGGGATTGGCTTCCATGGCCGCATCCAAGCCTTACATCACCAAGTGCAATGCAAAATGTCAGATGCAGTGTTGTTAAGCACGCCACCACTGGACTCTAGAGCAGTGGAGACGTGTTCTCTGGAGTGATGACTCACATTTCTGGCAATCCGATGAACGTGTCTGGGTTTGGTGGTTGCCAGGAGAACAATACTTGCCTGATTGCATTGTGCAAAGTGTAAAGTTTGGTGGAGGGGGGATTATGCTGTGGGGTTGTTTTTCAGGGGTTGGGCTTGACCCCTTTGTTCCAGTGAAGGAACTCTTAAGGCATCAGCATACCAAGACATTTTGGATAATTTCATGCTCCCAACTTTGTGGGAACAGTTTGGGGATGGCCTCTTTCTGTTCCAACATGACTGCGCACCAGTGCAAAAAGCAAGGTCCATAAACACATGGATGAGGGCGTTTGGGTTACAGGAACTCGACTGGTCTGCACAGAGTCCTGACCTCAACCCAATAGAACAATTGGGATGAATTAGAGCAGAGACTGCGAGCCAGGCCTTCTCATCCGACATCAGTACCTGACCTCACAAATGCGCTTCTGGAAGAATGGTCAAACATTCCCATAGACACACTCCTAAACCTTGTGGACAGCCTTCCCAGAAGAGTTGAAGCTGTTATGGCTGCAAATGGTGGGCCAACCCTACGGAATAAGACTGGGATGCCATTAACGTTCATGTGCGTGTAAAGGCAGGCATCCCAATACTTTTGGCAATATACTGTATATATATTACATAGTTTATTAATAAAAACAAAACTGCGTTCATTTGTTTTTTACATCTGTCTGGAGTTCAGCTTTGGTGGTTTCTAAGGTTCCCATTGGTATGGGTGCCATTATGCTCCATAACTTCCCACCAAACAAGAAAAGTATAGCACATACAGTTGTGTTCAAAATAATAGCAGCCAGACATCACTAACCTGATTAATCTCTGTTTTTGGTAGAAATTATATTTCTACATAGCAAATAATTTACTAGCAGGTGTAGTAGAGTAATAGAAATCCAACAGACCCAACAGTCATGACATGCATGCTGCTGATTCTGTGTAATTGAATCACTAATTGAAAGGGGCATGTTCAAAATAATAGCAGTGTGGAGTTCTATTAGTGAGGTCATTCATTCTTTGAAAAACAGGTGGCAATTATTGCCATTATTTAAGGAAGGAAGGCAGCAAATGTTGTACATGCTGGTTACAGTGCATTTCTCTCTGGAATTCTGAGAAAAATGGGTCGTTCCAGACATTGTTCAGAAGAACAGCGTACCTTGATTAAAAAGTTGATTGGAGAGGGGAAAACATATAAAGAAGTGCAGAAAATGATAGGCTGCTCAGCTAAAATGATCGCAAATGCTTTAAAATGGCAACCAAAACCAGAAAGACGTGGAAGAAAGCGAAAAACTACCATTCGAAAGAATAGAAGAATAGCCAAAATGGCAAGGACTTAGCCAACAATTGGCTCCAGGAAGATCAAAGAAGGTCTAAAGTTACCTGTGAGTACTGTTACAATTAGAAGATGCCTATGTGAAGCCAAGCTATCTGCAAGAAGCACCCGCAAAGTCCCACTGTTGAAAAAAAGACGTGCTGAAGAGGTTACAATTTGCCAAAGAGCACATTGACTGGCCTAAAGAGAAATGGCGCAACATTTTGTGGCCTGATGAAAGTAAGATTGTTCTTTTTGGGTCTAGTGGCCAGAGACAGTTTGTCAGACGACCCCCAAACACTGAATTCAAGCTACAGTATACTGTGAAGACAGTGAAGCATGGTTGCGCAAGCATCATGATATGAGGATGTTTCTCATACTACGGTGTTGGGCCTATTTATCGCATACCAGGGATCATGGATCAGTTTGAATACATCAGAATACTTGAAGAGTTCATGCTGCCTTATGTTGAAGAGGAAATGCCCTTGAAATGGGTGTTCCAACAAAACAACGACCAGACCAACAAGATTGACGTTATGGAGTGGCCAGCCCAATCCCCGGATCTTAATCCAATAGAAAACTTGTGGGGTGACATAAAAAATGCAGTTTCTGAGGCAAAACCAAGAAATAGAGAAGAACTGTGGAATGTAGTCCAGTCATCCTGGACACAAATTTGATATATTTTTCTTCATGTTTTGATTTGGAATAGAATGTGTAGTGTTCTCAATGCATTTGTGTGTATGGAAATAAAGCTATTAGAAGGATTTTGAGCTTTATTCACTTTTTTCAACACACTGCTATTATTTTGAACACAACTGTATATGCATAAAACAGAACCAAAATACAGAGATATTCAACATTATATGTACCCCCTGCAAGTCCACATCTCACCAGATGTCTTTAGAGGCACCATGTAGCTGTTGTTGGAACAGATTACATGAAAAACATGAAAAATCTTGAAGCAAGCAAGACAAACAAAGCCTGAAACCTAGGATAGCCCAGTTAGAGGTGCACTGTACAAAGTCAGATCAAGAAACAACAAAACAGCTATTATACATGACCTTGTTGAATCACTTGTTGTTGCCTGTGGGTCCTCCAACAAAAATTACTACTCCATTCTATACTGTGAGAGATAGGACCATGAGGGAGAAGTTGTAAGCACTCTACTTCGAATTCAGTCTGAACATCAAATCTCATTACATAGGATCTGCTTTGTCCTTTGACTTAATAAATTAACAATTTTCTTCAGGGAAAAACATCAAAATTAGTCATGTACACTTTCTCTAGAGAAATTTGAACTTTCTCCAAGGAAATAGCAAAGCTTTTGTCCACATTACCTCTAGAACACCCATCATGCTTTTCAATTTCAATGCATGGGAAATAGGTTACATCAGTGAAGGCAGTGAGCTTACGCAGTGTTTTTGGCCACTTGCAGATCTCTAATATTGTGAACTTGTTTTTTCAAACAGAACTTAAGATTCCAAATAGATGAACCCAACCCCTTTCACCACTCACAGATCAGCCTGTTTCTTCCTCGACTCCTTGCAGTCAGGGCCAAGGCCCAGGATTCCGCTCTTATTCCAGTGTAATCCACCATCCAAATGAAGGGCAGATATTCAGCTCTAGCCAAGGTTTATTGCAATGAAAATACACTTCTAATGCCCAACCAAAGCCATGGCTCCAACTATGGCCATGTTTCACCCACAACAGGGCTTTATCATGGGGATTCCCCATTCCAATTGGGCTTTCGGTGGAAGTGAGCAGTGTGCTGTCATACAATAAAATTCCAATGTTACAGTCACATACTTGTATGTCATCACATCACCCATTTCATCCTCACCACTTCAGATGTTTAATACTGTAACATGTTGCTAAGTGCTGCTTTTTAAGAGAATCCTCTCAAGAAAGGGTGTTAGGGGCAACCTTTGGCTGTAAAGGCTTTCTGACACCCTCTCACACCCACCCTTAGTAACTACATACAACTTGCATATGTCTTCTACTTTTAAGTTAAAGCGGCGCTCCACCCAAAAGGGGACGTTCCGCTTTAAAGATTGTTCCCCCACTCCCCATTAAGGATTGGCACCTTTGGGAAGCGGGGGGGGGGGGGGGGGGGGGGGAATCAGAAACGGAAGTTGTCCTTCTACCTTCCCTCCTTGAAGTCTTGTGGGACATGTGACAGGTCCCAGAAGACAACGGGGCCATTCAAGAAGTGCAGCGCTACTCACGCACGCACAGTGGGCACCCGCGTGCAGCAGCAAGCTGTCACAGCCGGGTTCCCACACTAAAGATGCCGGCCTCCTGGAATGCAGGACGGCTGATGAAATGGGCTGCGGCGGGGGAAACACGGGATCTTGGGACAGGTGAGTGGCTGTTTTTTAAAAGTCAACAGCTACAGTTTTTGTAGCTGCTGACTTTTATTTTTTTTACAAAGTGAGTGGAACTCCGCTTTAATAGTGCTTTGATGCACCAAACATCTTATTCACAACACCATACATATTTACTCTTTTCAATGCTTCCTGTCTAGTAGACCACAGAGAGTGTTCCTGGTTTTCCTTTCCTTCACAATATTACCACTAAAGTGTGACATGTCCCAAGGATCACTACTGTCTCCAGAGCTATTTGCATTATATGTGCAACCACTACAAACAATTCTAGAGTTATAGTTGTAGCAATACTAAGCAGATTATATTCAACTGTATTTATCCATTACAGTAGTTAAGTTCAGTTATTACATATACATTTTTGAGCACATAAATATATGCATTTTATACATCCATGTATTTTATTTTTTAAAACTTGACAGTTATTTGTTTTCCAGTTTGCATAGTTCAGGTCACGTGATCTCTGTTCTTGCCAGAGGCATTCACAGACCTGCAGGAGAGCGTGTACAAAGCAGGGCAAGAACTTTAGCTTGCTGCTGAGCATCCTCATTTTTAGGTTTCACAAAAAGGAGGGTTGGTTTGGTTGGCTGTAAAAGCAGCCGTCAGTCAAGGCAGAAGGGATGAGCAGGGGATGTGGTTTTACACTGACATGCCCATATCAAATAGTGAGGATAAACGGATCATGCTAGCACAGGTCGGCTGCCATGCTTAGTGTGATCTGTTTATTATCAGCACGTGGGGCACAGGCAGGATCAACCAGGTAATTGAGAAAAAAGGCAGGTACGAATACATTATTATTATGAAAAAAACACACAGAAATACAATAGAGAGTGCAAAGCTTTTTATTTTTAAGCTTACTAACACTTTTAAAACTGGTCTTAAGACCCTATCACCTGACATAAAATCCTGCCTGAGTAACAGGAATAGATGATTATCAGCTAGCAGAACCCGGAAAAAATTAAGTTTTGTTATTAGAGGTCAGAGACACAGAAGGGACAGAGAGCTCCATTCGATCTTACTTACAACTTAGGTGTAATAATTGATGGGAGATTCACATTTAAGATTTTAATTTCTGCAATGATTAGACAGTTATACTGTAGTTTCCCCTGAGAAACACTGTTAGAATTAAATACTGTATCCTCCCAGAAGACATGTAGACTGCAGTTTGAGTTTTCACAATGTAGGGATCTCCTGCCCTCTACTGTCTGAATTTGTAGGTGCCTGTATGCAGGTCCTGTCTCTGGGTTGTTGGCTTTGAAACCCCA